GAACACAGGTAGCCATCTTCACCCCAATTAGTTCTATAGTGAGTAAAAAATGAAGGATAGTAAAAAAAAATTATTTAATCACCAGATCGGAGTTTGGTTAGAATGGGCAACTTGTTTTACTTAACCAGTAGTCAATGCAATTAAAGCGCCTGCAGCCCTCAATAAAAAAAAAACAGCATGATAGAATTGCGTGGGGTTGCAAGATTCGAGTAAACTACACCGTACTTATAAAGAGAAAAAACTGTCACTTCTAAATATGTTCCCGTACTAACAGACCCGGAGTAAGTACACATGGCTTAAAATATTTTTGTGAACAAAAATGTATTTAAAATCTCTAATTGTAATGTCACCATGAGAATACAATGTTATTGTCGTTTATTTCTTAGACCATCAACTCGCCTTAGTCATCGTCTTCTGATGTACAGACGTATCCAGTCATTGTAGGCCTAGCTTCTACATCAATGTTACTGAAACTACATTGTACTTGCTTGTAAAAAGTTATATAAAATAATTTAATGATAAGGCTTGCCAAAACAAGAGATGCATACGTTGTATTCAGTAGCGTACGCAGGGGGGGGGGGGGGGGGGGAGAGCAGGGGGAGCAGCCGCTCCCCCTCTGGCCATTTTCAGCAAAGTGGCGCCTTTTTTGAAACTTTTTAAACTCAAAGTTTTAAACAGTGATATTTGTTAAAAAGATATATTTTTGGTCGGCACATCTATGTAAATCACAAGATTTCTTTTCATGCAGCAATCAAGCATTATTGTACTGGTCTAGTATTGTCTACGTTCACAACACGTATTAACAGCTGCATCAGTTTGCCATTCTAAAAATAACCATTACGATGCATTGCAATGTTTAAAAAACCTCTACGGTAGTACCACTTGGCAAGAGGGGTGTTAAGTTTAAGGCAACTGTATAATGTATTTGCTTACGAATAATTGAATTAGAAAATGTTATACATAAAACTTCACACATAATTACTTTATATATACAGTTTGAATCGTGTGATTAATTTTAAAAAATTACAATACAGAAACAAATACAACTGATGTGGTACCTCTATTTAAATTTACTTATGAGCAAACTGCGTAGTGGTGGGGAAATTTTGACTAGGTCAACAACATCATTACGAGTAAGTAGTAGTATTCTTACAGTTTGGGCGATAGTGATTACGATTACAAATTATATGAAACAGTTACAACCCCCCCCCTGCCCCTTGGACCCCTCTGTAAAAAAAATATTGCCATAATACCACTGCTACTTATTTAAATCTATTTCTGTAATATATATTTGTGTAATATATATATTTGTGTAATATATATGTATGTTTAGAACAGTCATCTAAAAACTGACGCTATGTTCACTCTGAGTTGGTTATCTCCCCCCCCCCCCCCCCACACACACACCTCACCACCACAATTGTGTAGAGCGGCATTAATGTCACACCTAGGTATACACTGGGTTGGATAATTGACCTAAAGTGAAGTTGAACCCCCCCCCATCCCCCCCCCCCCCCCACACACACACCCCGAACTGATCTGTTAAGTACTTGTAGAAAAACGCGTAATGATGTACCAAAGCACCATGCCGCCAGAAAATTAGCTTTTTAAACGTAAAACTCTGTGAATATTGTTTTTGCAATTACCATTAAAAGGTTTGTGATCAATACAGTGATCTAACCCATATCTATCACTATGTTAAAATGATCTTTAAAGAGCACAAAGAAGCAGTAATTAATTAAAATATATGATCTGAACTAAAACACCGTTATTTAGTTAAATGTAGGCTGTTATTCCGAATGTTTTTCTGAATTATTGAAAAGCGTGGTTTTATACCAACTCTGATTTTAAAAACTTTCATTATGCTGTAATACTTTAGCATTTATGATGACGATATATTAAATTCTGATTATAGACAAAAACATTTTGTAAACACGAATAGTGTTAAACAATTTCATTATATTCTTAAGTAATTATTTATTTGTTTTGATATTTATAATTAAATATGTAGATATATACATATTTATATTAAGAGAGTGATTATTTCACTTGTCTTAAATAATTTCCCAGGAATTATTATGTAAGAATTTTTTTTTACAAGAATTATAAAACAGATTGTGTTACGTGCATTGTTTTTGTTTGTAGTGTGTGCATATATATTTTTGTTGTTGTTTAGATTGATACAATATTTGTTTTGTCGGCATACATTGTGTGTATTTTTCTTATTTCTTCAGAGTGCTACTTTCAATTTATTTTACATCATAGCGAAGTAATGACATACAGCTAGTAATTATATATATATATATATATGTATATATATATATATATATATATATATATATATATATATATATATATATATATATATGTATACATATATGTATACATATATGTATATATATATGTATATATATATATATATATATATATATATATATATATATATATATATATATATAATACACGTATATAGAACGTGTTGAAAATTCGACGCATTTTTTTTGCTCTTTTCGCTCCCCCTACAACGAAAACCTGGATACGCTTCTGGTTGTATTATTTACGAGTGTTGGCTTTGCTAACTCTGAAGAGTATTGATGAAGGTGTCTCAATGACAGGTGTCATATTGTTTCTGAACCTACATTGTCCTTGCTTGTAAAAAGTTATATAAAAAATCTTTCTTAATAATCAAACAATATTTTATAAATAATAATATAGAAATAATAAACATAAAATATAAATATATATAATAAATATATAAATGCGACTATGAAACAATATTTCATATGTGCACACATTAAAAAGAAGAAAGCAATAAGGTTTTTTAAAAATATAAAAATGTTTTATATATATGAAGAAAAGAGTTTGTAGCTGTAATGTGATTTGAAATAAAAATGGTACTTGGATTTTCTATCAGACACATCTATAAATATAAATGTCTACAAAGTATGCGGAGGTCACAGAAACAGGTGAACTCTATTTCCCTTGCCCCATGGACCGTCATGTTTCAGAGGGAACTTTACTTACAAAGTATCAAATGTACTTTTCTCACATAGTAATATAATCTGGTTATAAAATCTTATATTTTCTAATTATTAGTTTTTATATATTCATAATATTTTACTACTAAATATTGAGACAATTGTATAACAAAAAAAAAACGTAAACGTACTGAAAAAGGGGGTGACATCGCGATACTCGTTGTATGTTATACATCAGTATTCAATAACTCAAATTAAGGACATATTACATTGACATCAAACCTTAACCTACTTGTAAAATTCGAAATATAACGGCTCGGTAAAAATAGGGAAGAGATATCTCATTTTCACCCATGACGGGTGAAGACATCCCCTCCCCCCGCTCTACCAATGTGTATCAAAAATTAAGCCCAGAGCTCCTCGCTCCAGCGACTTTATCCTTGCCTTGTGGAATACAACAGTTTAGTGTTATCACGAATCTAGGGTAGAGTTTCCTGTTGCCGAGCTTATAAAGCGCACAATGGCTTTAAAAGATATATGAAAATGTAAACACAGTTTACCATTATGAATCGTGAATGCTATACAGTATTTCTAACTCACAAAGTTTGACCCTGATAACGTTATATGACATTTCTAACACACTTTCCCTTTCCTAATATTCAAACGAAGAAACATTTACGTACAACGAAACCTGTAGCTAAATAATAGGCATCACATACTTTAAGATGGAATTCTTGTCACATCGTCAGAAATAAAATAAAGGACTTATACTATATCAAACAATCAATGTGTAAACCATTACCGTCAACTACGTTCTACAGCCGTTCTAAATGGAAGATACATATCAAGGTTTAACAGAAAAGAAAGCACAGGACAATAATATAACCTTTCCCCAACACCAGCCTTTAGACCATATAATATATTACAAAAGATAACTTACTAAACTATAACAAAAGCAACTCACCATTAACCATTACTGAAAGAGTAATTTTAGTTATCGTAACGAATGTAACTGTAATGAAATAATAATAATAATAATAAGTAATTAACTAAAACCAGTTAGTGTATTATCTATATATATAATTCTCTTCTGGGAGCCGTTAGAAAACAAGCTGCAAGCGCGCCTTACAATCCCCTCTCTTCCTCTCTATCGCTACCACCCCCACCCCCTCACATGGTCTGGTGAGCTGTGGTTCACGCTGTTCACATTTTACATTCATAGAGACGGGTTTGGTGAAGGCTATTAGGGGCAGATAATTTAATTTGAAACGATTTTAAACTTAGGGGAGGTAACTAAGAGGAGGCTGCTTTAACTTGGGGGGGGGGGGGAGAGGGGGGTTTGAGTGTTTTTAAGCAAATATTTTCCGGGGCAGCATTGGTACTGTCGAATTCACAAATTATAAATTACTGAAAAGTATAATAAAAAAACTAAATAGCGTCGTATGATACGCAGCGGGTCGGCTCGTTTATTATAATGAACGTCTACAGAATTGTGCGCACCAGTTTACAAAATTATTTTTTAACGCTTAAACTCTTTAATTTCTAGCAATTTTTTTCCAGTGAATTTGAAAGCTGATAATTATAAAGTGTTTTTTTTTAATATACTCCTTTTCCTGATTGTTTTTTTTTTAGATATAAATTCTTAATGAAATCGAAACCTCAAACCACTAAACATATGGGCTTTAAAAATCCGATCAGTAGCTTGCAGTCTCGCGAACAAATTTATCCGCCCCTTGCTTAAAGTCCGTGGGAACCAACCGTCCGTGACAAAAAATCGACAGTTGTTAACAGGCTGATCGAATAATTTATTATTGAATGTAGCACCATTTATATTATTTTAATTACTAATTAAAAATAAAGTTTTAAAAAAAATGAGATATTATTGCATTGTCCTCGAAGACAAACATGTCTGGAAATCAAGAACGAAATCGCTGCATTATAAGTAGGTAAAACTGTCGTAAGTATTTCAATGTGAAGTAAAAAAAAAATTGTTTGAAAAAAAAAGAAGCAATATTAGTCCGTCTGACGGTTTTAAAAAAGCCGAGATAAAAATATTGACATCTACTTTCTACTTTTAGAGCATGAAATTATTATGACATTTAAATGGGTTGAACAAAACAATCTCGTAGATTTTTAAGTTAGATAAGTTGATATGGTAGATAACTCTTCAATATTTGACGCAAGAACATCATGGACAGCTGCAAATCTTTGTTACTTTATTGAACAGCGCTCAGAAATAAAACAAGAACACATACAATATAAAGTAAAATATAATACAGAAAGATACAAAAATTTCATGGTATATTCTTATTTTATTTATATTTATAAATATTTTAAAAAGCAATTTTAAAAAAATTATATTTAAGGCATTAAAATGTTACATTTGGGATCTAATCAATTCTGTATATGTGAAATGCGTAGCCTACAGATATAAAAATCATGCATTTAAAAAAAGCATTTTCACCGACACGTTCTACTAATAAACAGCAAGTTTTTCTCTCACATGCATTTAGCACTACAGTCTGATGACAACAAGATACAATAAAAAGAGACAGAAACATAACTTGCTTCCCATCACCGAATCGGCGTTGTTGTGCTGACCTCCATGAGTCCCCACCAGAGGATAAACGGCATTGGAAGCAACGCCGCAGTGGTTGTCTCTGTTCCTAGCAAGCAACATAAATCCATTCTTGCCCCAGGTCGTTCCGTAACTGAAAAACAAACACAGCAAGTAAATCATTTCATGATAGAAAATAAATAAGTTATTTCTTCATGTTCATCATTCTTAATTGTAATGTTCGAAGAGATTTTCTCCAAAACAAATAAGTATTACGTGTCAACTTTCTATGTGCCAAATTGGTAGTTAGGCAGATTTTAGCCTGCTTTTCTTTCTGGATTTGCTTCCATAGATTTGCTTCCATAGATTTTGTCAGCCAAGAACAAACTGCAAGACAGCAGTCGCTTCAGTTTGGATTTTTCTCTCCCAGATGGGATAAGGGATTTAGAAGCCATGAGCTTTACGGGCACCCACTAATACATGTTATGCAAAAAATATGAATGTCACAAGTAAACAGGTCGGGGGGATTTTTAAAAAAAAAACGTTTTTTTTTTAGATTAACAAGATTAAAGTAAAAAGATGTGTATTATGGTGAGGATTTGGTCTTTGGGACAGCGTTGGGGTTAGATTTTAGATAAATTATAAAACATGGTCATAAAAAGCGTTCCTATGATTTCAGTGTAAATAAAAATAATAAGGAACCAATTGATTAAAAAAAATTGAGTTTATTATACAGTTGAATTTTTTTTTTACAAACCTGTTTTTCACAAGCCAATAATCCTGGCCTTTCAGTGTCCCATACCCAACCACTAGCACGGCGTGGGTCAATGTACTAGAGCTGCAAGTTGGTGTGTAGTAAATACCGTCGTTGTAGTGGGCAAAGGTTGGGTCATCGGCGTCTATGGCAACACTGACTGGACCAATCTACAGGACATTTAATGTTTAACGTGAATTATAGGCCTATATATTTTAATGTTATACATGTTTGAGAAAAATATTTTACAAAATAGTTATTGGTCAAAACTCAATGTTCTTTACTAAACGTTGAATAATATTAGTGACCAAGCAAAGAAATAACTAAATAGCTAAAATCCGAAACATTTAAAATAACATAGACTACCAATACGTATTCAAAAAATTAAAACCAAATTATATACATTATTAGTCAACAGAACACCATATAAAATGCACGCACTAATCAAGAGACTAAAATGATTCCGTTAAAAAACCGGTTATTCAATTGTCATTATGTTGTTTTTTAAAGTAATTTGTATTAGTTGAACCGAGAAAATTGTATAGATTGCATACGTCTTGATAGGTAAATTTATAGAATCTTGATATATATCAAATTTGAATGAAATAGTTCATTTCTTTATATTCTAAAACTGGAAGATGACGCCATTGTGTTCTTTTAATTGTGTAAACATATGGCATGTGACGTCATTGTTAATTGCGTTCTTGTTAGAACCATATACACTTTTTCCGGTTGCATAAGTAAAAATGTGTTTCTACATTCAAATATGCCCTTATTTTTTCTTTAAATAAAATTTAGTTTATACATTTGAAACATCTAACATAATATTTTCAACAAAAGTCCATATCAAGTTCTCCATTTATCGCTGAAGATACTGATATGATAGCCTGTGAAAATATTTTGCGGACCATGAGAGAGAGAGAAGTGCGCACATGGTCTTTTATATATTAGGATAATAACTAATAAGAAACTGATCGTCCCCCAACCTGTTGATGAGCGGTACCGTATGCGTACGTATAAGTCTGACAGAAACACATTATTCCAGCACAAACATTATGGATAAATCTCGATTCTATATCCTGATTCAATCTTTATGGCTTTTGAGCATATCACGGGTGCAGTACATTTTAAAGAATTTTGTCTTCACTTCATTTAACTCAAGATCTTTCAGCTATTAGCATCAATCATAACATGCAAGTACGTAAAGTCAAACAATAGTTACTGTGGCGACAGCTTCCTTCAGTGCATCCTCATCCCCTGGAGTTATACACACATATCCCTTGACGGTGGCTGCAACTGGTTTCCTGACATTCACGCAAAAGTTATCCTGAAAGATTTGAAAAATCATGAATTATTTTTATTTTAAAAGTAAAAAAAAAATCAAAGACAAAATGGTGGTCACAATACGAGTTTAATGTAATGCTCGCATGATCAAATATCTTCTTATTGTCTTTTGTTTTATATGTATTAAGCATAGAGCTGCAGTCAGCCTACACAGCAGCTTAATTTTAAGTTGGTGCAGTTGAATTTGTCTTTTAGATATTGTTATAAAAAATCGATTTCTAACGAGACTACACCATCATTGGCCATGTGCCACCGCAAGAGACAAGTAAAAGTGCCTGAGCTGAATGGATTTCCAACGGGTTCAGACTACTTAGTCGCAATTCTATTTTTATCCGATAGCCAATCAATGTATCTGCCTTTTATAATATAATCTACATTTCTTACGCCCAGTTGTCAAAAGTTATCCCAGGTTGCCACGATATCTTTTTTTTTTGTCCGTGTTATTGCAGCTCTCGTTGGATTAGATTTTGTCTTGGTTTTAATCTTGTTGGTTTGTTTTTAACAGGTAGCCTAAAATTTCCTTAAAGCTTCAAAGGCATTCGACTGTAAAGTTATGTAACCCAACGATTGGGATTCTCACTGGCCAAGTCCCAGACAAACTACAAGAAAGATCTTAGTCAATTCATTGTTTAAATTATAGAACATCTTCAAGTGCACTTTTCGAAAATGTGTTTTACAGTACATCTGACGACACATCTAAAATGCGTTCTTAAAACAAATCCTATATATGTAAATCTATCGCATCAACTAATTAGAATATAGTTAACTAATCTATTAAGCATGTTTATAATCGTAAGAATTTAATTTATTGCTTTGCAGGAAGTTAGTTTAGAAAAAAAAAGATCCATTCACATATATTTCTAGACCAAATCTGAATAAACGTTAATAATTATTCTTACTTCAGGCGTATATGGGTAGTTTTCGGCGGAGTCGATCCCCCCATCTTCTTTAATAAAATCGAATGCTTGGATCACGTTGCCGCCATCACAGCCATCGTTACCTTAAATACAAAAACAAAGCAGATCATTTGAATAGAGATGTTTAAAACACAATATCAGGACAAACCTGCGAATACTAAATTTGTAAATAATGTGAATGATAAAATTCATGACAACTTATAAAACAGTATCTCCAGGAAACAATATTTGGAGGATCTATGAAATCTTAAAATAAAATATCGCTAAATATCCAAATATCTTAAAACCGTATTCCGGAATGTCTGAAATGGGATAAAAAAATCGTAGTTTCAGGTGTTCAATTGGATTACCAGCAAAGTAAAGAATAAGCTGTTCCCATGAAGAATATATATATATATATATATATATATATATATATATATATATATATATATGGTAAAGCTTACCCCACATCATTGAACAATCGACCAGCTGTGATTCCGACAGGTTGACCAGTTGACCAGTGGCCTTGAAATGTTGACCTTCTAATGACCCAACGGCCGAGAAAGCCCAGCATGATCCGCAGTCGCCTTGATCTTTAACAGGTGTGACATAACCTTTATAGCGCCAGTCTACCGCCGCTGGAAGCTTCGGGTTTGAAGATTTATTGAATATTTTCATGCAGGGTTCCTCGTTGTCTTCGAAGAAGTCCTTGTTTATATAAAAGTCTGCTGTGGACTAAAGTTATTTGGTACAAAATATGAAACTAAGATTTTTAAAAGCGATTTTATATATATTTTTATATCGCTCTTACCTTATCAGTAAACTGTTTCTTACTTCATCAGTAAAATGGTTCTTACCTCATCAGCTAACTAGTTGTTACCTCACCAGTAAACTGGTTCTTACCTCATCAGTAAACTTGTTCTCACCTCTTTAGTAAACTGGTTATTACCTTATCAGTAAACTGGTTCTTACATCATCAGTAAACTGGTTCTCACTTCATTAGTAAACTGGTTCTTACCTGATCAGTAAACTTATTCTCGCCTAAAGTATAATTTTCCAACCCTCGAGTGAACCTCGCGTTATGTTTTTCTATGACTTCCACGTTGGATCTCCAGATCTCTCTCTTGATACGCTCCAAATGTTCCGGGTAGTTTTTGTTGTGTTTTTGTTTGTACAGTTCCCATCTTTCTTGTGTTGTAGCTGCAACCATAGCTAGGCATGCAGCTAGACAGGCAGCTAGCAGGAGATATGTGGTGTAGAATTTGGACATCTGAAAAACACAAATTTTTTACACACAAAAAGATCACTCAATGTTTTTGCACGTGAAAAATGTTATAAAGATTCACTTCACGTAATTGCCGATAATTTTAGATTTCTTCTTAAAAATAAAATGCCTTCTGATAAAGCTTAGTCGAAGTAAAATATTCTTACACATTAGTTTTGTGTTTTTATTTTGCTTTTAGTTTTTTAAAATGTGTAGTGTAGCATAAACACTTGTTTCTAGACTTAGTTCGGCAGCACATTTACGTACTATAACTTTATTATTTTAAGGTGATGGTAAAAATAGCAGTTGAATACAGCAACAGATACCGCAAACAGAAATAAGCGTAAAGTTTTCATATATTTGAATTCAACTTGGAGTTTGAAAATAATTTTGCTGAGAGGAAGGCGTGGTGTTAATCTTTTTAATCGTGTTTTAAATTATGTGATTTACTTTGTGTTTGACAGTTAATATTTTCTATTTTGGTGCTAAAAAATATAAGAGAAAATTATTAATTTAGTTATAGTTTTAAACAACGAATACGTATTTGAAAATAAACTGCATTTGTTTGTTAAATTGCCGCTGGGTGTCGTTGTTTGATATTTTTGTCCTACTTTTGTTGGGATATAACTGTCACACACACTCAACTATAAAAAAGCTGTGAAAAAAGATATTACATTTGAAAAGGCGATTAAACTAGGTCGTAGTATTACAACCAGTGCCTGCAATTAGTTTTAAAGTCAGCAATAAAAACCCTTAGCGTAATACTGAACGACGCAAATATTTCACAGAGCGAACTTTGACAGGGGACGGCGCGGTAGGTCGTTCTTTGACCGACTTCCTCTCATGACCAAACCAGGCAGGGCAATATTTTTATTAAAGAAACCAAGTTGTTAAAATTAATCGTAAAAAATTTCATTGCATCAAATGCACTGAACATTTTATTAAGCTTATTATAATAAAGATTTTAAAATATCTGTTTCACTTTCTGCTTTTTAGTTTTTTGTTCTTAATGTAGAGAGCATCATTTACGATTTAATTTTTTTTTGGTTTAAGTACCTTTGCGATCACTAAAAGACAATCGTATGCCTCTTCTTAGTTTATTGTCGAGAAATTTGCTTATAAAAGCCTGAACAGATACTTTAGGAACATATGTGTGCTCTAGAATGCATCATTTACTTTCATTTCTAAATCTCTACGTTGATACTGTTTCATCAAGAAATTTTGTTTATGTAAAATGAACATACAAGAGCTATTGATTTATCAAAGTATCCATAACAAGATTGAAGTATTATGCCCTGATCTATCAAATGTCAATTATTCTTTTAATAACATTTTGTAAAGGTATTCAATAGATAAGAAAGTGACCCACGCTCTTTTTTAGTTATTAAAAAGTAGTGTATTATTATGTATTTTAAGACAATCATGACTTTTTTTTAGTAAATACTTATATAAAAGCTTGTTATTAAAACGTTTTTATGGTTTTTTTTTCAGTACTTTAAATATTTTTAATACAGTAGAGTTGCGCAACTAAAAACAATTGTGCGCCAAATGAACATGAAAAAAGTGCGTAAAAAAGCGCGGAAAATAACACTTTATATAGGAAACGGATTAATTCATAAAAAATAATTAGGCATTCAATTAAGTCTAATTTGATGTCAAATAGCATTGTTTTCTGTTTTTGACACAAGTGCCAGGTTTGATATGAATCGGTCAGTTAGAAGTGATCGAAATTGTGCTCGGCAGTTTCGATCCATGACCAAGCATTCAGCACGACAGTCAAAAGCACGACATACAAATGAAGCAATTTAAATTAAAGCTTGTAAAAACCCTTACCAATAACTAAACACTAATTGCGATCTCGGTGGAACTTTAAGAGCAATTATGTCTTACCTCTATTAGCCTTATACAAAATTTTCTTTGCAAAAAAATGTACTCGAATTGCTAAATGTTAAATATCCTCTTCATGCGAGTTGATGTCCTTCTATTTCAGTAAAATAGTATATCATGTCAAGAAATGCTTTGCCTTGCCCAAGTTGTTGAATGCCAGAACTTTTGCAATGGTACATTATCTACTAATATTCAGCAAGATTTATCCAATCGAAGCCGCTGCTTTTCATTCAGTTTGAAAGTAGGTTATGTACATTCTAGGAAACTAAATTGAAACCACGCTAAAGGGACGTAACAACAAGGTCAAGTAGCCTGACTTGAAAAGCTGAGGAAATGGGGGGGGGGGGGGGGGGGATTGGCATATTTGGAATTTGGCCCACATATTTAACTGCAGTCAAAGGCATACTTTATTTGTGTGAATGTGTATGTATGTGTTTGAAGATATGTGTGTTCATGTGTGAATAACCATAATTGTATGTAGGCATATGCCTGTATGTGCAAGTGTATGAATGTATAAATTTATATGTAAACTAGGCAAACTGCCTAGCTTCGCTTAGGTTTAAGAAAAAACACTTGCCTAAAATCATACCCTTGGATAAGCTGTATAATAAATAAACACATACTAAAAGTAGCACTATTGCTAAATTAATACTAACATTATAAACGTAATTTCCTTTTTTAACCTTTTTACTTTCTCGAATATACGAAGTATAGAAAAAGTCTTGTAATCGTACAAAAAAAAAATAAAATAAAAAAAAGATATCGAGATTTTTGCAAATCTTGACGTTTTACACCTCCCTGAGCAAGAAAACATAGTTTTGCAATTTTGTCCGTGTGTCTGTGTGTGTATGTGTGTCTATGTCTGTGTGTGTGTGTGTATCTTTAAACACGATAACTTTAGTACCGTTACAGCCAGGTTAATGAAATTTCATGAAGTATTATATCAAAATCGCAGATCCGTATAAACTTTTGAGCGATTTCCGATAACCGGAAGTGGACATTTAAAAAAAGCCTATAACTTGAGTACTATTTCAGATAGATAAACGAAATTTCATGTTAGTAAAAGATCTTATTCTCTGCCTTCTGTCAAATTTTGAGTAATTTCCGTTGACCGGAAGTAGTAATTTTCGTTGTTTATGATATCTCAACAACGAATGAGAGTTTATAAAGTACTAACCATATTCCGCACTATTATACACATTTTGCTTGGCGTCCGTTTTTTCTACGAGATTATATTCTATTTTTAAAAGTTTAAGTAATTAAAAATCATGTCTATATAATACATTTGTGGTATACCGTGGTTATAAAGAAAGAGAAAAGGGTGTGGGGGTTGGGCGTACGCCTGCTATCGCGGAAGTCTTCAGTTCAGATCCTGTATTTAATTCAGTATGACACCCCTGATCCACCCTGATTGTTGCATACCTTATATTAGGTAAATTCAAGGTGACAGGTCGTATCACACTATACCCGCATATTCCAAGGTTACAGAAACCGGTGAAATTTTTATTTCTCAAGTAACAGATTTAAACAATATTTTTTTTTAGGAGTACTTATAAAAAAACCTTGAAGGTAATTTCTATGTTATATAGGCCTACTCAATGTTTGCATGGTCATTTTAATTAATTACATTTTATTGCTTTTTTATGATATGAAAATGATAGTATGTGTGTTTGTGGGTTTGTCCTTTATACAGAACTCTTCTTCATTCGATCACCATGAAACTTTGGGGAGTTGATGAGAATACTTCAGGGGAGGGTGCGATTTTTCTCAATATATGTTTTGGCGCACATAGTTACAGAGCGGCTATCTTATCATTTGGTATCCGTTGATGACGTGTCCTGCAGAACGGGTAAAAGGTACTTTTATATTCAGCGCCCCGAGCTCCTCAGTGAGCTCTATACCTCCTACGTTCGTTTAAAGAAAAAGGTTATACAATAAAGACACAACAATCGTTGTCTATATCGAATAAAGCGCGCCCTCTGGCGCCCCTGATTGGAGGCGATTTGGCGCCCCGGGCTTACCCTGTAAGCACTATGACGCCTACTTTCTTTTTAGACAGCGCGATAGGCTATAGACAAGATGGTGTATTACAGTCGTTCACTAATCAGGCGCATCCGCCGGCGCTCTGGCAGGGTGCGATTTCACGATCCCGAGAGCTCCTCTTTACGTGCCTGACAACTGGGCGGTCGTCGAAGTGTTTTTTACTTCACTATTACGGAAAGTGATTAACGTGCACTCAAGACTTTCATATATCACGCCCCAGGGGCGTGCTGTTTTTAAAAAAAATAAAATGCATCGCATACATAGCTTACATCATAAGTTTGCATTGCCTGTGTGTTCCCTTTAATTTTAAGCCTTAAATATTAGTTTGCATTAGTTTGAATATTATTATGCATTTTTTTCACAACAATAAACAATGTTTAATAAAGGTAAAACTGAAGCTCATTATTTCCAATGACCATCCAGAGCTTTATCGATGACGAAACCTATTTTTTGTGACCCGCGGGTTGTTCTACGACCTCAGGAGTTATGATGGGGTTGTACGTGCGGATTTTTAAATTTAGTTTTTTTTACAAAAACATTGGTATGTTTATACAAGGACAAATGTTTTTTTTCTCCAAAAGTAACCCCATTTTTGTGTCCCCTTGGTGTCAATTTAGGACCTCAGGAATTAATCAAAGGGTTCCTACGTGGAAAATTATTTCCACTATATAGATCATATAAGGCTCTGGTCTGTCGAGGTCAGATTTGATCCATTCTTCGAGGACTTTGTGGCTGACAGGCATTTGCCCCCTTGTTCTGTTGGCCCGAGGCGAGAGTGTGCAACTTTTAAAGCGCATGCAGCACCGAAAATGCCCTAAATGGCTTCGGACCATTTGGCCTTATATATATATATATATATATATATATATATATATATATATATATATATATATATATATATATATATATATATATATATAAACAAAATTAAACAAAATTAAAGAAAATGTATAAACATTCGCAAAAAATCTAAATGTGTCTGAAAATTATTTTCATTTAGTCCTTTAGAACTAATTACGTCCCTTGATAAATTAGGAAAACACAATTACTTTTCTTTAAAAAAACATTACATCTGGGGAAAAAATACTTTTTATAAGTTTGTTTTGGTGTTGGAAAGATACTAATTATATAATTAGCATTGATTGATAAAGTGCAATATGGTAGGTAAAACACGGATATTTTAAATACTGTTTTTATTTATCACTGGGGGGTCGGCGTGGTCGAGTCGGTAAAGCTCATGGTTGCTAAACCGAAAAGCCTCGAGTTCGAACTCTCGGGCAGATGAGGCTCGTTAGCTGGGAACAGCCACTCTTCTAGGAGAGACAACTCCAAAATTAAACAACTGCTGCCTTGTGGTTTGTTCTTGGTTGGACAAAGGCTATGGAAGCTAATCCAAAAAGAAAAGCAGGCTGAAATCGGAGTCAATGGCCCAAATGGCGCAAAACCAGTTGACACGTAACGCTTAATTGTGTTGGAGGCGTGGTCGAGTCGGCAAAAAGCTCATGGTTGATAAATTCGAACAAAGTCTCGAGTTTAAACCCACTGGCAGATAAATCTCGATCCCACTTCAACACTAATAATTAAGAACGAAAGAAGAAGGAAGAAGAAATTTATCACTGAATGTACTGTTTACTAATTATTATTTTTAATCAAGAACAGTTTAGAAGCTGCCCCTAAATGTCCTCTGTGTTTACTTTTATCTTTTCGTTTGCGGACAAGCTTGGGGTATTATAGTCGTTTACTAAATTGAATCAGGCACGTTCGCTGGCGCCCTGACAGAGTTCGATTTGGCACCCTGGGCTATCCTGTGAGCGCTATGGTGCAAACGTTCGTTTTAAAGAATGCGATAGGCTGTGAATAAAAAGGGTTACTTTTTATGAAGGGTGAAACATTGTTTTTTTATTTTGTTCATTCCACATGACGTTAACTAAAATTATAAGTTTCCAAAATGAAACTTGTCTTACAAAGCCATCAATATTAATTTTTAAACGCATTGTTTAGATAATAAACACAAGAATATTACATTTTGGCGATCAAGTCTAGTTTTTTACTATAAGCACTTTTCCTTTTAGATAATTTGCATAATTAAAGATGTGTTTCTACATTCGAATATGCATTTATTATTATTTTCCTTCTTTAAATAAAATTTAGTTTATACATTTAATACATCCAGCATATTATTTTCAACAAAGGTCCGTATCGTTAAGTTCTCCATATATTGCTGAAGATATTGATCACATAACCTCGGGACAAGCGGACAGAGAGAGAGAGAGAGAGAGAGAGAGAATGAGAGATAGAGCAGCCGATCAAACACTATTTTCTATGAAAGACTCAATGAAATTATCAATGACAGAGTCAATGATAACTACCGCTCTCCTGTATTTTTCTCTTAAGAAACTCAATGATAAAGCGTTAGTAGTTATAAAGAGAGAGAGAGAGAGTTTATCAAAACGGAAATAATTCAACTAGTTTAATTAATAAAGCGTTAAACGTAATTATTAATTCTTAATTTCTCAGCGATTGATACAGTTGTTTAGGGACAGTTAAACTATTTTTTTTTAAAATATAGATCCTCGATCTTCATTTATAATTTATTAATTAAAATAAGATTTTAAAAAAATAATTAAAACAGGTCTTTGTAGGGCCTACTATATTATTAAAAAAAACAACTAATGAATATAATAAATAATTTTGACTATTTCTCATTCTAAACCTATCGAATATCTTTTTTTTTTAAATGCAAGGTAATCTTTTATAGAACCTACATGATTAACTTTTCTTCTAATAATAAAAAAAACTCTAAAAAAAAACTATTATTCCTACAAATATTAGAGTAGTCTCCCTTGACAGTTTCTATTCGAATGTATTTTGTGTTAATTTTCGTTTTGAAATACAGTTGACTTTTTAAATAAATTATATAAGAAAACAATCTATCTCTGTGTATATTTATTTTAAAAAAATATTACAATAATTAGAATAGGTGTTACTGGTTAAATAGCAATTATTCTCATTCTAAATCTTTGGCTATCGAGTTTCATGGGTTTTTAAATTTAAGATTATGAACACATTGGCTTGACGAAAATGATTATATACACTTAAATACATACTAAAATTTACTTTTGTTAATAAACCTACACTATTTTATGCACACATACAAAAAAGAATATTTTAGCGGCAGTTACAACGTCAAAAAAAAA